TAACCTCGGAAATTTAATTGATTGAGGGTTTAAAATATATTAATTGAAATTGAATTAAAAGCCGGTCTCTGTTTGAATTGTGACACTAAATATGTTGTATTTTCCTATCCCCTCTGCCTATTGTTGCTTAGGCTTGTGGTTGGCTGGGTTTCTCTGGGATACTAATACCATTTCTAATCTAAATCCAGATCATAACTTACTTACAAGTAAGTCCCTCAATGGTCTCTCAGTCTCAGACTCAGTCTTGGTCTCAGTTTTAGTCTTTGTATTTGCAAATCGAAGCGGGAAGCCATTGTTGTTGCCACTGGACATTGTCCTTGCCAGCGTGTGTGTGTGTGTGTTGGGAGTCCCCCTTGGGCCATAATAACTTGTAAGTGCTGCACCATACATGGATGTGTATTATGTATTATGCAGGACTCGGTCGGAGGTGCATTACTGCGAATTCCACCTACCCCCCAAGTTGCATGTAGTCCTGGCAGTTCCCCCCAAGCTGTTGAATGAAACATAAGTGCCCGTCGTGCTTCGGTTGCAAAACTTCTAAGAGATTAAAGCGATCTTTTGGAAGCGGAACCGAACCGCAGAGAGTTGTAACATAAAAAATTAATATTTCAAGCAAGCTTTTAAGCTTAAATTTCTCTATATTACAGTAGAAATCATATGTCATTTGAATTTATTCACCTCTTTTTCTTTATTTGAAGATACTATAAATGCTTGGCTTTTGATTGAAATGCGGATTGGAATTGATGTCATTGAAATTGATATGTGTATTTGGTGGTAAACCACAAAACTGATACACAATTAACCATAATTAGTTTGTGGCATGGTTTTCCTCTACTCGATTAGCTGTCTGCTTATATACACTTTCTCTTTTTATAAACCGAATAAATATATACCTATATTTAGTTTAAATAATGTTTTATAAAACATATTTATAGATATATTAAGGGTATACAATTTTCAGTGAAACTTGAAGCTGATTTCTTTGCTTGTTCCCTGTCTTTTTTACCTGTCTCATTTTTTTTATGGCATTGCTTTCACCTGAAAGCGCTTGTTGACGCTCCCGTGGACAAGCGAAAGCCACAACAAGGCATAGCGAAAATACACACACACACGCACTCCCAGGACGTGGCAGGAGGGAGGAAAGAAGAGAGCATCAGGAAGCCATGATAAAGAATATATGACAATGATGGAGGCGCCTGTGCGTCTGTGTGTGCCTCGTGTTCGTGTTTGTTTAGTTTGTGTCTGTGTCCTGTGTTCCTGTGTCCTGTGGGTGAGAGACTGGCCCACTTCCGTTAACGACATTCGCTTCAATTTGGTGAATTAAGTCTTAAAGCGTAATTGAGTGAACATTTTCATTGAACCATAAGTGTGCGTGTAAGAGGAGGGAGAGCGTAGAGTATATATTTTTCCAGTTTCAGTTTTCAAGTCAGGATAAAGGAAGGAAAGGGACGGTGTAAATCAACTTATCGCTACACTAACTCTCTATCTCACTCTCTAACCGGAAACCTGGCCATGTGCCGGAAGTGAAACAGCCATTGATCAGTTTGTGTGCCATTTCTGTTCATTCTCAACAAGAAGTGGCTCCTTGCCACTTAGCAATGGAAGTTAACTGGCAGCCAAGGAATGCCACCCAAAAAAGATACTGTCATTCAGGACACAATAAAATGGAATCTCTCCTCTTATTTATTTTTTTTTTTTTGGTTCTGTTTCTCTTTCCCTTTTTTTGGGTTTCGGACAGTGACTGAAAACATTTTATTACCTAGACAAGCTTTCAAAAGCTGACAAAGCAAAAATATTTAGATTAAAAATGAAGAGGGACGAGTCTGAATTTATATATTTTAATTTAAATGTAATTGCGTTTATTTTTGAGTACTTTAATCCAAATAAAGTGAAGGTGAAGAGGATGGTACTAGTGTTGGATTATTGTCAGAAGTTTGTGTGTGTGTGTGCTGGCCACTTCCGTTTATCTGTGCCTCGTCGCCCCCTTCCGTTTCCGTTTTTCACCTACCAATGCATCCTGGCGACAGAATGCAAATACTACCAAATGCGAAATACAAAATTCCCTCAAGTCTATGTTGACACATGTGTCGACGAAGCAGTCCCTATATATAAGCATATAGGATATGGGATATGGGATATGGGATATGAGATATGGGATATAGGAATCGGGGATCGGGAATCGGGGTGGTGTGCTATAACAAGCAACCAGCAACAGTTATCATTATGCTAGGGCCAGCCAGTCAGTCCCTGGGTCCTTTGGTCCTTTTGCACATTTGCAGCTAAATCACGTACTCGGTAAATGTGCTACTAATGAGCGCAGGCAGGGAGGGCTCCTAAGGCACACACACGGTCTACACTGTTACAAGTGTTTACAGATTGAGAGAAATTCAATATATAAAAATACATATATTTATTTAAATATATATATTGAACTTGTAAATGAATTCATGTGGAAATCCATTTCTATCCTCAATTTAGCATGTGGTTAGCGAGCAATAACTACTGCTACTCGTGTAAGATAAATCTCTTTAGGAAATAATATTAAATTTTAGAATGCAAGTAACCAAATTTGTATACCCGATAAATCTTTGATTTGGCTAATGCAGTAATGCATCGAATATATTTGTGTATTCATTTTTGGAAAGTAACTATTTTCTTATTTCTCTTCTGAGAATAAGAAACAGCTTTACCACCTGATTTTTCCTTTGTTTAAAGTACCTCCTCCTCAATTCCACAAAAAAGTTGTACCCTTTTCAGGACCATAGTTCATGGCAATAATAAAATTTCCCAAAAATTAATTTATTACTAATTATTATTGTGAAAAATTTGCGAACAGTGTATGATAGCATTGGCAGCCATGGAGCCTAATGTCTCTGATTTTACAAATGATTGTCGAACGCCCCCGTGCCCCATGCCCCTTAACCCTCTACCTCTACCTGGGGTGCTCCACCTTTGAGCTGGACCTCCTCACACACCCACACACTCACTCCCACACACACACTCCCACACACACACATGCAGACATTCCCAGTCGATTCAATCATTGTGTGCCTCTGTGTGTCTGTGTAAACAGGCTCTAAAAATAAATGCTCATTTCTGTGGGGGAGGTCCAGGAACAATGCCCCCGTTGCGGGTTAATGCTGCTGCAGGGGCACTGGCAGGGGGTTAATGGTGGCACTGTGCCACAACTACAATACCCCAAGCAACACACACACACACACACACACACGTAAAGTTTTGAACAATTGGTTTCAGCGCCTGAAAGCAGGCCATTCAGACACCTTTCGGAATCAGAGATACCAAGTGCTAGACTTTAATCAGGAGTCATCATATTTTTGGGCATCAATCAGCTAATTGATTGAAAGTATAAATGTACTTGTGGTTTAGTTAGTTTGTGCTTTAAAATATTCTTTAATAATATTACTAGCTTTTGTTGTAGTTTAATAACTATTTATATAAAGAGGTTAGTTTTGGGTAAAGTATTTATATAAATAGATTATTTATAGGTGAAAGTACTGATATCTCTGCCCTATTTAATTTTAAGCTGGTTTGCAGTATAAATATTATATTTCTTGTATTATTATTATTATTATTTATTTTTATTTTAAATTTCTTTAATTTCTAGTGTCTCATCTCATATATTTGCTAGGGTTTTAGTTAATATTAAAGTATATAGAATTATTTTCTATTAATAACAAAACAAATAAAATATAGATCGCACAAATCTTTAAAGCTTTTGAATAATTAAATCCTAATTGCTTCAAATAGTTAAAATTCTGTATTAGTAAGAAATCTTTATCCTTTAAATTATTATTTACCCTTTTAGTAAAACAAATTAACAACCAAGTTAAGCTCTTTATAGTATATACTATCTCTTCTTAATTGTCACAGGACATAAAGTTTCTAAAGAACCCCGGACAACTAATAAAAAACTTGTCATTTAAATTGTACTTACCTGGGCGTAGGTGGCAAACAATCGAGGCACAAGAGAGAAACCAACAAATAACAAACGACAAGTGAGAAGAGGCCAGGCAATAAAAAACTAAAAGTGAAAGTGAGACTCAGACTGAGACTCAAACTCAAACTCAGACTGCTACTGAGACACTCACTTAGACTCAAACTAAAGAGGACGAACCTCGACTCAGAACTCAGACTGAACTTCGCGAACAAGTTGAAACTATTTAAACGAAATGACGATAGAGGCGTGTTTCCGTTTCCGATGAGTTGCCAAGTTGTTTTCCCATTTGAAAACAAACTCCGACGTCCAACGCGACTGGGTTTTCCCAAGCCAGACGAATTTTCACAGAATTTTGATTGGATTTACTGGGTGAAAGTGAGTTTGCCAGCATTAAAGCGGAAAATAATGTTTTTCTGTTTTTTCTGCGAAGCTCCAGAGAATTGAAAGTTAACGTTGTCTTTGAAGTAAAAATCGCAAGGGGAGTTTGAAAATGAAGTAGGCCCTAAAGCAAACTTTTAATCAATTAAATATGAGATTCCCTTGAATTCAAGTGAAATGAATAGTTTTTGCCTAATTATGATGGATATTTTTTAAGGGAAAAGTTAATGATATTGTCCTCACGATGGTTTGTTTATTTGTTGATTTACAAACAGCCTGATGAGCGCGTGTGACTTGTGTGGCAACAATACATACGTAATTAAATGCGGCATAAAGTCCTTCAACTTAATGGTAAATAAATATGTACTAAATACCAACTAAATGGGGGGGGGAAAATGCTATGCAATTTATTTAATGCACTTTGGGGCATTCTGCAATTTGCATAACAATTGCTTGACAATTGAGACCGAAACTGAAAACATTAAATGGCAACAATTTCGGTTAAATTGATTTGGCATTCATGGAAAGGCCAGTGGAGAACCATTATTATTAGTGCATTAAATCGAAATTATTATTTAAATCAAATTAAAATAAGAATAAAAAAAATAAGAAAATTAAAAATGTATATATTTAAGAAAATATGCAAATTTAGTACTCACATGTTGATTGTGTTGTGTAAAGTTGATTTTTTCCTTTTGCTGTTTAGCTTTCTTTGCTTTCTGATTTTGTCTTTACTTTGGGCATTTAGCCGATATTAGCTGATGATATATAGGTATATATAGTATAAAGCATCTGTTGCTTTGCAGGTCCTGGTTCGTTCCGCCTCCTTTCAGGATCGTATCAGGTATTTATTTGGCTTTTCAAGGCTTTCTATGTCTGTTGTACTGTTTGGCGGCTGTTTAGGGCTCAGGTTCAGGTTTAGCTTCAGATTTAGGTTCAGGTTTGGGTTCAGGTTCAGGTTCAGGTAGTTCAAGTGTGACTTCTTTGATAACTATTGCATTTTTGTATATTTTTTTTTTTGTTTAACACACAATAAAATAAATACAAGTACACATTTCTGTGACACAAACACTGATCTTTGGCACTTTTAAAAAAATGAATATTGTCTTGACTTGTTGCATGGATGAGATTACAGTTTCGTTTTCTGTTTCTGATTCTGATTCTACTTTCGCCCCTCGGTTGCTTGGTGGATGCTTGTGTCCTCTCCTGTTGCTCCTTGCTGTGGCTCCTTGTTGCTGTTTTGCGAGTGGCACAACCGTTGGGCTTGGATGTTGAACAGCATCTGTTGCTCTGCCGCTGGCCGACTGACGAGGACACCTCGTGTTGCTCGCTTTCGTTGCTCGTCCTTACGCCCGAAGGACATCATCCACACCCCACACCCACAGCTCGCACACACACACACACAGCTACCCCCCAGCAGCACCCACCCACAGGCACAACAAGTGGAAAGTGTGTAACTGTAACGACGACCATGACGACGCAGCAACAGTCGCAGCAGCAGCAACAGCAACAGCAGCAGCTGCTGCGAAGACAGCAGCAACAGGCTTACGTGGCCAGCACCAGGTGTTGCTCGGTCTCCGGGGGTGGCTCTGTGCCGAGTACGAGTACTGAATATGAGTCCGAGTCCGAGTATGAGTATTCGTTTCGTATTCGTATTCGTTTTGAGGGGAAGTCGCTCAGCTCAGCTCTCGCTGAATCGCTGACTGGAGGGGCACAGGAACACGCTGTTGCTTCTGGTTAATGTGGCAGAGAAAAAAGCATGAAAAAGTTCGATACCATCAATATCATATCGAAAGGATCGTTAAATTTTATCAGTTAATTGGGATTTAAGGAAATATATCGGGAGCAAGATAGCACAAAACTAGTGAAGAAGTTATTTCCGACCCTACAAATCATATATATTCTTGATCAGCATCAACAGCCGGAACGATTTAGCTAATATTGAATTTTTTTAAAAATTTGAAAATTTTATAAGGGGTTACATCCTTAAAATTTTCAAAAATTGTCACAAAATTTAATTTTTTAATATTTTATGCAGATTTATAAAGAAAATAAAAACTTGAACAGAACAGCTTTCCGAATTGAAATTAATGCTTTTTTAGCTAAGATATGAGTTTTTTAAACTATGGGTTTTCCAAAAAATGTTCATATAAAATATTTATAAATACCTATTAAAAAATGGTATTTATAATTTTAGTCAGAAGCTATAAAACAGTGAAGGAATCATTTCCAACCCTATAAACTATATATATTCTTGATCAGCATCAACAGGGGGATCTTTCTAGGCATTTAGTAAAGAAACAATTTTTTTTAGTTTTTTGTTAAATTTTATAAGGCGTTACATCGTTAAAATTCTCAAAAATTGATAAAAATTTGAATTTTTTAACATTTTTTAATTGAGTATGCAGAATTATTAATCATAAAAAATCGAACATAGGACAGCTTTCCGAATTAAAATTAATGCATTCTTGGCAGAGTTATGAGTTTTACAAAACTTAAATTTCTGGAAATATGTGTATATAAAAAATATATGAATATCAGTTAAAAAATGGTATTCTGATTTTAGGCAGAAGCTTAAAAAACCGTGAAGGAGTCATTTCCGACCCCATAAACCATACATATTCTTGATCAGCATCATCAGTGGAATCTTTCTTGGCATTTAGTAAAAAAACATTTTGGTAAATTTTTTTTTAAATTTTACATCGTTAAAATTTTTAAAATATAAAATATCATATTTTGTACATTTTAAATTAAGTATGCAGATTTCTTAACCTCACAAAAACTAACACGGAACAGCTTTCCGAATTAAAATTAATGAATTTTTGGCTTAGTTATGATCAATCAAAATTGCAAGGGTATTTAAACTTCGACTTTTATAGTTTAAAATTGCTTTTAAAATTAAATTTGCCATAAGTTATTACATTTTATATATTTAGGTTATATTTTAATAAGCGTTATAGGATAAAATATATATTTTCATCAAGTATAAATGTAGCATTAGCATAAATTATGCATATATATATATTAGGCCCCATCAAAATCGCTGAATAAACTCAATCGAAGGCTGTTGCATGCTTCCATTGAGTCGGCGGAGGTCGGATGTCTGATCATTTCGATTGGCGAGCGATTCAACAAGCGGCAGACGGGGAGTCCTTTGGAGGAGGATGAAGGATGCGATGCACTCGGGGAGGGGTGGGGATGGGGGGCTGATGCTGCAACGCCTACGCCAGCGGCTTACCTGTTGGACTCGAGCGCCTTACGGGGCGTATGCGCAATATGCATTTGGTCAACAGGTTAGCCTTGGGCCACAGGAGCCAGGAGCAAGGCCCCGAACCACCAAGGACACCATTCGTTTCACATCGTTGTGGGGACATTCAGCGCATGCCCCAGACACGAAGCCATTGAAATAGCGACGGAGGGGTCTCGTCTCCATCGGGATTGGTCCATCGCATTCAGCGGATCGGTGGTGGATTTTCGGCGGGGCAATTGCCGAATCTCAGCAAGAAAGTCTTTGGTTTTTTGGAGGCATCGTTCTGTAAGAAAATTTTAAAAACTAGTCATAATTTTGATAGAAAGTTGTAGGTGCTTAAATGAATATATAATTAAAATTTAATTTCATTATTTATTTGATTTAAATTTAATTTGGTGTATTCTTTCAAGTTTTCTTTGCTTTCTATTGAAGTAAAGTTTGTCTGCGCTTACAAATAATTTGCATTTATTATAAGGATGCCACCAAAAAATCTATATATTAAAACATTAGTCATATATAAAAAGTTACAATACTTTCTATATATATTATTGTGCTTTTTTCAATATATATTATTCTGCTGTTTCCCCCTTCGACGTTCTTATTATAAGGATGCCACATAGAAATTTATATATTAAAAGATTATTCATATATCAAAAGTTACAATATTTTCTATATGATATTGTTTTGTTTTTAAAATATATTATTCTGCGATTTCCCCTCGATGGGCTTATTATTCTTATCTTAAATATATATTTTTGTACAATAGATATAGAAATTCGAGTAATTTAATAGCTTTAAACAGCCTAGCAATATTTATAAAAAATAATATACCAAAGAGCCCAGTTTATTAATTTTAAATTTTAGTTAAATCACTCTCTCATTTACTCAATGAACCACTTTAAATAATTGTACTTGAATTATATTATATTTCCATATAATTTATTTACATTTTCCTTGAACAACTCAAGAAATGCAACTATAGTAAAAAGATGCCGTAATTGCGAACTAATTAAGCCATAATTTTCGTGTCGGCTCAATTAGAAGGATGCTAGCCATCTGTGGTAGCATCCCTTAACCTTGGACTGCAGTTTGCAACTCGCGTTACGCATCCGACCCGTTGGCCATAATTTTACGACTTTCTGCATCCGCTCTGGATACCAAGGGGTATTATGTTCAATTTTATGTATGCCCGCGTCATGGCAACAGGTCAAAGTGTGTGTCCCCTTGGAGGGTCACTAAATAAAATGGTAAAGGACTAGGTAAAGGGAATGGAAATGGAAGTAGGAGTGGGAATAGGAATAGGAGTGGAAATGGGAATGAAAAGTAAGGGAATGCATCGGGAAATCCATGAGGCATTCCCATTGCCATGACAGCCAATTATTTGCCGCATGTGTTGAATCGGGAAACGAGCCACGTAAACACCTGAGCCAACTGAACTGGAAACGGTCCAGTTTTGCCGCCTAATTGGATAGGTTACACAACACTTGATAGGTTGATAGGTGGATGTGGGATGTGGGATTCGGGATGCGGGATGCCGGATGGGTTGTAAGGATGTTGCAGAAAAAAAGGGGATACTAAATACCGTTAAAAAAAAAGAGGGGTGAATGGAAAAATCAACATTTTAGGTAGTTAACATGTATAAATTTAAATTTTAAATCCCATCAAAAGGTACATTCCGTAATTTGATTAGGAAATATTCCACAAACCACAGGAAAGCACCTGCATACCCTTGAAATTTTATTCCTTTCCCTTCCTTTGTTGGTTCTTGGTCCCTTAGCAAATAAGACAGCCATATATTTAAGGGCGAATCATGGTAAATGCATTAAAATCTGCTCTGGGGTCATAAAAACCGGTCGCCAAAACCCATTATGCACTGCAGTTACTCGGGCAATATATATGTATATCTATATAGGTATATATATATATAAAGGCAACAGGCCACAGGATACAGGCTGCAGGATATAATATATCCGTAATAGATGCAGATGCACATGCGGGATGCAAATACATTTTAAAGGCAAAACATATGCCCATGCAAATGTAGTTCGGCTTTCCCTTTACAATTTTTGCTTTCTGTACAAAACAAGAAAAGAAATTAGCTTTGGAAAGCTGAAAGTTATATGCCCTTACAGTTTGCAATTGAGTTATAGGATCGAAGTCGATCTTCGCATTCTTTGAATCAATATTTATCGAGATTTTTTTTAACCCAATTTTTGGGACAAATCAAAACTTAACAAATTCATAGATAGGGCAAAATTGCATTAAATTTAATTCGGAAAGCGGCTCTATACTAGTTTTTATCACATTAATAAATCTGCATACTCAATTTAAAAATTGGAATTTTTATCAATTTTTGACAATTTTAAGGATGTAACCCCTTATAAAATTTCGAAAAAAAATTTTCAAAAATGTTTCTTTACTAAATGCCCAGAAAGATTCCCCTGTTGAAGCTGATCAAGAATATATATGATTGATAGGGTCGGAAATGACTCTCTCACAGGGCTTGAAACCTCTGACTAAAATTAAAATACCCCAGTAAGGGTATTAAACATAAAAAAAAAACAAAAAATATTTGTTGCTACTTCGCAAATTGAAAGCAACAAGTAAATAAAACCAGTGCCAATACCATTATCTCCTGTATTGGTTGATAATAATGCTCTAAAATGTGCAAAAGAAAATAAATAGTGGATTTTATTAAAACAGAGCAACATAAAATAATTTTAGGTGCGTAAAATGTGGCAGAAAGTCTAATAGAATCTTCAATCGAATAAAAAGATTACCTTAGGGTATATTCCCTTTATAAGCTGCATATATATTTATGGATTGATATAACCCTTTCCTCTTTTTTAGCTCAGCAAACATAATCATTTAAAGTCTTGTTCCATTACTTGCTGTTCACAATAGAATTTGTTGTTAAATTCTCCAAATATATAACTTAAAAAATAGTTTTTAACAATTATAATATCCAGTTTTAGACTAAATTTTTTATTACTGATTAATTTCATTTAAAAATTCTTCCTCAACATTCCTTCTGTGATCATTGCAACTCCTGGGACTCAAACTGGAACTGTAACTAAGACTTGTATAGTATTGGGTTTGAGTTGAGATTCGATTTAGAGTGCGGGTTTGGAGCAGTCTTGGTGGACAAGGCATCCGAGGCGAAGGCCTCCCTGAGGGCGGCACGATAGTCATCGCCGGAGTAACGCATGTGCTCCAGGAGGCGGCCTTGGCTATCGATGACGTAGAGATATTGCAATTGCCGCTCCTCGCGGGGCTCCGTGGACTTGGGCTTGCCCCTAAGACCCTGGCCTTGGGGCAGGACCTGCACGCGATCCTTCAGCGCATAGCCGCCCAGTATGAGTTCCGGGAAACTGCTGATCGGTGGCACATAGACATTAATGCGACGCTGGGCCATCTTGTAGGGATTCCGAATTTACAATACAGCAAAATTTGATTTTAATTCAAGAGCAAAAATCAGTAGGGAAATACACAACACAATAAACTAGGGAAGAAACTCAAACGAAAGCCAAACAATGACTGAAAACCCAGAGCATGCCTAAATTCAACATTAAATTTTATTAAATTGTATAATAGGAAAAAAAATGTAATAGCTCAAATAAATGAGCTGACAAAACACACACAGTCCTTGTCTGGTTACAATTTATTTATTAGTAATTTTTTTTTTTGTTGTTGTGCTTTTACGCCTTCGGCATTTGCAATTTTAATTAAAACAGCAACTAATTTGATGACACAAGCCTCTCTCTGCCACGCTGGAACTCATTATTAATATTCTTCCATCAATTATTTGTGTCAATAATTAATGAGATATGTGCTGCATTTGATCAAATAATATCCCACACTGATTGCTTCTGACAGTCATAATTTCGGTCTATTGTGTTCATTCGTCCTGTCGGCCTCGTGTTTATTTACACATTTGCATTTCCAACAAAATTACGCATTTCGCACTAGCTGCGAGGGTGGATTCTGAGTTAATTGAAAAAGAAATGTATTCCAGTGAGAAATGATGTCTCTTTTCTAGGATTTCCAGTTAATTGTATTGGAAGAGAGAAAATGAGAAGCTTTCTCAAAAAGTCTCAGAGAGAAACTCTCCCTTTCTCTTATTTGCTGATGTTTGTAGGTAAAGTAAAAGAGACAGAGAGAGAAATACAGAGGGAGAGGGAGAGGGAGATAGAGATCCAGAGATAGAGAGTTAGAGATAGAGAGACAGAGGTAGAGAGACAGAGATAGAGAGCCAGAGAGAGATGGAGAGAGAGGGACGTCTCCCGATCGATTCAGATTTATGTGTATTAGTTGATTCTTATAACTTAAACCCTAAATTTGACTGTACTTAATTTTTAAAAACTTTTAAATCTACCATCTGAATAATGTGAATTTAATTTCTAACGCTCCGATTTCCAGCTCGTCAGCTTTATTTTAAATTAAAAATTCACTAACTAATAAGGGTATTATTATATTATAATACTATTTGTAAAAGGGAAAACAGGAAACCTAACTTTCTTTACTTTAATTTCCCTTCCAAAAAATACTTTCTAAATCAAATCTCATACAAAAGATAGATTACAATTTTTTCTCAGTAAAAACGAGAAGTTTTTCCCATACATTTCTGGTATTTTTTCGGTAAAAGTGTGTAACTTGTTTTTTGGGAAATTGAAATGCCGCAAAAGTTCGTTATGTTTTCCTCTAGCTTTCCCTGAACCGATGTCCTGATGGATTCGACAAATCCAGGGACAAATCGAATTAACATGTGCATCTCATCGCGCGAATGCACAATGGAATCGAATGTCGCGGCCGGCTGCTCCTTGGGCAGGACGAGTAATTGAGTCAGGACGAATCAAAGTTCAGTCCAGCTGAGTTGCTTAGGCGCCTTTAAGGATAATTAAAGGAGAGAGAAGGGTATCCGCATCAAAGCAAAAGCCCACCGAACAGAGCGGTTTAATGTAACCGCAATTATACATGACTATATATAGTACAAATCGTATATACATACATATGCACGAGAATGCACTAATTAGAAGAACCTTCTCTGGCAATTGTAGCAGTATCAAAGGGAAGACAAGGACAAAGGACTCGTGCGATGGCTTCTCTTGCCACCCACAAATTTGAAATAATAATAATTTAACATTGAGATATATTTATTTCTATAAGATATATGCTATTTGACAAAGAGATGCTCGAAAGAAGAGATCAAATGTTCACAGCCTTCATTATTAATTGTTTGAAAAAATCCTTGTTCCAAGAGAAAGTTATTAGAAATTATGATAGGTTGAGCAAGGATTAGTATGCGTCTATTTTTCCCTCTTAATGTCCTCAAGCCTTTGATTATCAACTCCCTGTGCATATATTGACATGTAACTAGCAATGCCTATGGCCTGCAAGGGCCAATTATGAGCGACAAATGAGTGAAAAATAACATCCTTTAGGCCCATCCATGGCCCCCTTTTTGCACATCCTTTCTGCTTTCTGGCACGGCGAAAAACCACGGTCAATGTTTATCACAAAGCACTAATTGGACACTCTCTGGCCAGGACAAAAACATAAACAAAAACAAAACAAAAAACAATAGCAAAAATAACAAGAAGAGGTGGAGGTGGAGAGAGAGAGAGAGCGCAGTGTAGAGCCATAATTAATTGGATTTGGTAAACAATTTGTACAGTTTCATTTTCAGGCTAAACGAAGTTAGTTGCCAGCAAAACTTTCGCAAAAACCCAACCAACCGACCATCCGCAAGTGCAGATAACCACAGAGTGTCCTGCCTGCAGTACTTCCCCTCTTCTCTGTCCGTCTCTCTCTGTATCTCTCTCTGTCCCACTCATTTTGCGTTATCCTGCGCCGTGTGATGCACTTATTAGCCACACTCTGGGCACATATTTTGAGGTAATATGTCCACCAAACCAATTGCAAATATTTAATCCCAACTAATTTTGATTGATTTTGACACAAATGCAATTACCGGTAGCGAATTTTTCAACTTTGATGTTCAAAATAATTAATATATGCAATATAAATAACATAAATTTTATATTTTTTATTTGTGTAAATATTTTTGGGAAATTATAACTTTTTCATTGAACAAATATTAAGGGATAGAGGCTTTTCTGCTTGAGTAACAAATATAATTAATAAAGTGGTCGTACTTCAATAAAAAATATAAATAAATATATATAAATGCATCAAAAATATATACTAATTGAAGCGAATAAAAGTAAAAACCCATATATATATTTACATACATATAATCAAGCCATTATAAATTTGATAAATTAAAGTAAATATATATAGTTTAGATTCTTACTCCTTGCTGCACTTATTTTATTTACTTGCAAATTGAATTAAAATTATAATAATTAATTCTTAGTACTACAATTAAATTTCAATAATTTTCTGAACTAATAAGCTCCTGGAAAATCCTTTACCTAGGCAGAGTATTTCCTTGAAAATCTGGTATAATCAAGACACTTGTAATAATTTGTACTTGAGAACTTGAGAACTTGAGAGCAATGCAGATTATTTTCCATTTTATTTTATTATCATTATTATTATTTTGTTTTTTTGTTGTTGAAGATTATCTGCAATTGTGGCATTCGGGTTGTAGCCCGAAATCAGACAAGGGGGCTCTATGGAATTCTGGCAGCAACTTGAGAAAATAACAGCCAGGACGAAGCTTATTAGCAAAGTGGACTAGTGGTATGCCAGGAAGCTAGGATGCCAGGATGGCAGGATGGCCGTGCTAATAGCCTGGAAAATAACAAGCTGCAGGCGCGGCTTAAGTGGGCTTCAATGCAGCCAAAATGATTTCGCAGGTTTCTAGTAAATTATGCACCAGCACCCTTCAGAAAGGACAGAATTTACATTCACCTTTTTTTTTTTGTTTCTCTCCTTTATGCCTAGAAAGATTCGTCTAACATGGTGATCAAGAATATAGAGAGATTTCCCTGTTGATGCTGATCAAGAATATATATGATTTATGGGGTCGGAAATGACTCCTTCACTTCGTTTCGAGCTTCTGACTAAAATTAGAATACCGTTTTTAGTCCATATTTCGATATTTTTATATGACAATTTTTTCAACAAATCAATGTTAAAAAAACTCACTACTATGCCAAAAATCGATTAATTTCAATTCGGAAAGCTGTTCTGTTCTAGTTTTTAATAGGTAAATAAATCTGCATACTCAAATTACATTTTTAGGCTATTTCAATTTTCATCGATTTTTCAGAATGTTAATGATGTAAAAAACGGCCTAAAAAATATTGAAAAAAAATTTCAAAAATTTGGTTCTCTTCTTTTTGCCTAGAAAGATTCCCCTGTTGATGCTGATCAAGAATATATATGATTTATGGGGTCGGAAATGACTCCTTCACTTCGTTTCGAGCTTCTGACTAAAATTAGAATACCGTTTTTAGTCCATATTTCGATATTTTTATATGACAATTTTTTCAACAAATCAATGTTAAAAAAACTCACTACTATGCCAAAAATCGATTAATTTCAATTCGGAAAGCTGTTCTGTTCTAGTTTTTAATAGGTAAATAAATCTGCATACTCAAATTACATTTTTAGGCTATTTCAATTTTCGTCGATTTTTCAGAATGTTAATGATGGAAACTTAAAAAATATTGCAAAAAATTTTTAAAAATTTGTTTCTCTTCTTTATGCCTAGAAAGATTCGTCTGTTTATGCTGATCAAGAATATATATAACTTATGGGGTCGGACATGACTGCTTCACATTGTTACAAGCTTCTGAATAAAATTACAATACCCCTGAAAGGGTATAAAAAGTAAAGAAAAACTCTCGGCAAATAAATAAAATCCAAAATCCAAGTATAAGTACGTCACGAATGCTCAACAATCTACGTTTAAATGCGACACAGACAATATCCGAATATGGTTATTGGGCGCCGTAACTTTTCTTTAACATTTAACATTAATTTAAAGCATTTAATTGCTGCGACTTTGCCGCAAGTCCGGGATTACCGAGGTGTGCCACCGTTCACATGAGTTTTATGACAGACGCCGTTGCCGTTGTCGTCGACAATAAAGCGAAATATAATAAAAAAATACATATATATGTTTATATTTATACATATATATGTTCTATATGTATGACTTCTCTTTGTCCTGCATCCTTGCCTTATCCCCTCCCCCTCAAGCAGCATCACACACAAGCTGCAGCACATTGTGGCATTTTAAGCGGAAAATATGCCGCACTTCCGGTAGCTCACACACACAGAGAGAGAGAGAGCTTGAGTTGACTTGGTTACCGTTATAAGACAGGCGCCAAGATGGCTGCTCCTTGCGCCCAACAGTGTTGGCCTAAAGCCCAAAAAAAAAAATTTTGAGGACAGTAGGAAAAACAGAAGAAAATTCGAAATTTAATTTGGGATGTAATAATGAAATTAATTTTAAGGAAAATTGTTTTAAATTATTAAACAAAGAAAGAATTTATTAGTAAATTTATTCAAAAATGTTCTCTTTAAAGGTATTATGTATAATTTATCTTACTTTATCTTACAGATACTCTTT